TGTCTTCATTCTTAACAGCCAACGCATGGTAGTAATAGGCAACTTTATACAAACACTGAAGTATATCCCGATCATTTTCTTCTCGAGCACAATGCAAGTTAGAGTCTAATGTAGTCTCTACAGTCGCGTCGGGAAGTCTATTAAACGAAACCCAATTCGATGTCAAAATTCCTGCAATCTGATGAGCGTTCAGTTGGAGTGCTCGCAGCTGATCGAATACTAAAAACGCGTTAATAAGCAGAAAGCAGCATAAAACATGGAAACTATTTTTCGACATAATTGATTCTCATACAAACCATCATGATCACTTAAAACATCCAACAACATTTGACCGAGACTGTTCTTGGGTATTGGAATCCCAAATAAATAAGAAAGTGTAGGAACTAGATCCACTTGATTTACAACTCGGTAATATTGAAAATACGGTACGTTATGTGGGATTGTAAAGGTTGGAGGTACTGCTTTAAACAAGCCGTATTCCGAACTCATAAAGACGAGAGCCTGTATCAATAAAGTCATTTTTTAATCAAGCATCCCTCATTAAATAAATTAAACAATAAATGTTGATGCTTACAGTTGTAATTTCTCCTGCGGATGAACCACCGTGATTTCCTGCCTTTTCAAAGTACAACATGCTAAGTTAATTATAACGTAAAGTTCAATCTCTCACATTTTGCTCAGCCAGGTACCTCGTTCATTCCATGATCTCCACCAAGAATAAATAGCGTGGGCTTGGCATTAGTGTTCAATCGCTTCCTTTCTTTATCTTGCTCTGTAATCGTGTCATAAATGACTTTGACAACTTTATCCATTTCCTGCTGTTTGGGTGTCATTAATGGACTTGGATAATAAATTGGATGATCAACATCGCGTTTTGCTAGTAACACTGCACTACTCTTCCAAATAATTATCCGCTCTTGATAACCTACCTACATGGTCCAGCCAAATGACCAACATGATCTAGGCCAAGATAGTGAAATATCAACACGTCCCAGTCATTTCTTGCCAGCTGAGGTATGACATTTCTGGTCACGTTCAAATCGACTTCAACAGTATCCTAACATAATTCATGTCATTCATATCATCAGACCTCTTTTTCAAACTTTCAATCAATTGCTCAGCAAGTTTGACAGAAAAAGAATGGAGTATTCTTCATATATATACGTTAACGGAAGATAATCTACGCGTTGTTGTCACAAAAAGCATATAGATATTTACATACCGAAACAAAAAACGATGTCGTTCCGTCAATTCTGTCAAATATTCCAGGGAACAATTTTATCCAAGTATCGTCACCAAAAAATGATATAGACTTGTTGGCCGAATTTTTAAATTGAACAAGCCAGTTGTCTTGATACGCGAGCGAGGTAGAAGTATCCGATTCGGCAATATTCAATATTGCATCAAGAAAGTTGGGTACGGTGCCTGCGAACGATCCACATGTCAGCAAGTTTTTAACAGTTATGAAATGTCCGATTTTTCAGGGCTTACCTGTTGTAAGCGCCTTGATACGTGGTAGTGTGACAGTGGGAGCTGTGGCCAGTGCAGTAAATGGAATTGCATGACGATTTGTGATCAGGCTACGAAGTTCCCAAATCAATCAAAAAATTACTGGAACTCTCAAGTAAACTAACGAAATTGATCCGCAATTACACTTACCTTTGTACAAATTTCATCTCTGAGCTTTCCCCAAACACGAAATCACTATTCATAAAGACAGAACGACATTCGCATGATCATGCCTTGAGATTTGAACTAGACAAATGACAATTACCTCCTCAATGCATCTATCAGCATAAAGACGAGTCTATCAAATGATGGTTTTGGTGTCGCATTTCCATGTTCTGGCAATGGGGGGACGTCATCCGGACTAGCAAATCCAGACAAGTTTGTTTTGTATGGAAAGAATCCTTTAGCAAACAGACCTAATCCTATTGTCTGCACGATCAAAAGTAGTGCTAACGACGCCCATGATTTGGTGAACATGTTGGACCAAAGATGTCTGGGAAACTTTTTCGCATCAGATAGAAAAGGAGTAGTGATCGGCGTAGTTGCTACATGAGATTTAACATAATCATCTAGAACTTATTTTATTTATGTTGTTATTGTAAAAACTTTTCTATTTCATATCACGTGTTTGTTGATATTTTTAGACTCGACTTTCGCGCTGTTATAAAATTACATCTTTTTGTATAATCTCATTATTTCAGAACTTAAAAATGGGTAAACCGAGTACTGTATCTTATCTCGATATTACCACTGTTTGCAATAACATAGTCCATGTTGCGTCGCTTTAATGTTTACACACTCGTCTAACGACCTTTTTCAGAGAAACTATCCGGTAGCGCCCAACCGACTTTAATGCAATTAGACGATGACAGGCTACAAGTACAATCATCGTCAATGATATCGAAAAGAAAAGAAGGGAAGTTGAACGCGAATAACATTGCCAAGAAGTTGGTATCAATGCAATTGGACACTACTCTACTGACACCCATTGTGAAGATGGAAGGCAAGTGTGATGAGAGAAATAGTATTATGCAACGATATCGTCAATTGATCACTTTTGACCATTTGAAAAAATTTCAGAAACAAAGGCAGGGTCAATACAGGCCTTTCCGTTACCGTCCTACAAAAGAAAGAAGACGAAAGCAAAAGTTGGACGTCGCAAGTCACATACGAAATTGCGAACGAAGGTCGAGAGAGCCTTGGTGAATATGGATAAAGCTGAAGTTAAAGCCGCCAAAAGACGTGAAAAGGTTTTACGAAAGCGACAGTTGAGAGATACTTGAAAGCGTAATGGGAACGCGCACGACCAATCCACAATACTTGTCTGGCTGGCGTGTTTATCACAAGTCGTTTTTCGAAAATGGCGTTGGTAGTGAATTATTAGATGATGAAGACG